TTAGGGCAGGAAGTAGCACGAAGTCGGGTGTTCCTTGTTCCCTTCACTACATCCTCGATGCTCTTTAAAGCTCCCCAAGCCGCTCGTTTCCATCTGCTCAATTCAAGCGTTAAGTCGTTCAACATGTTGATTTCCTGACCTAGATAGACATAACTGGAGCATTCGGAGATATTCCTTCCATTGAGCCTAAATGGGGCATACGAAACCATTTCGTTCCTCATAACCATCGTTTTTGTAATATTTAGTCGAATACCAGTCTTTCCATAGACTCTATCAAAGTCGGCAAGCTTACGTTGGCTAATGTTTGGTGTTATAAGAACGATTTCATTAGCAAAGCGAAAATGATGTAACTGCCGACCATCGATTTTCACTTCCATATTATCCCATTCCAGTGTTCACATGACGTTCTATAGGGTGGGGGTAAATAATTTTGGCGAGATGGTATCGCATTGCCTAACTCGTCTTTTGACGTCAATGTTAATATCGTTGTAGAATGGTTATATCTTGGTTATGAAATTTTTGTACAGCTTACGAAGAATCTTTATGTACTGAGTAGGGACCCCTTGACTATCAAGGGCTTCCAAGACTGCTTCTATCTTAACTGAATCAAAGGCCTTCTGTAAATCGATGAAAGAGAGACGGAGTGGTCTCTTGTACTCTAACCTTGTTATCGTGTGGATGTGGTCCGTCGTACTAAATCTTTTTCGAACCCCTGCTTGCTCACTTGGCTGTCCTTCGTCCAGTGTTCTGTCAATCCTGTTTAGGATGACTCGAGTGAAAAGTTAGTAGACGACATACAGTAAGTAGATTGGGCGATAGTTACCGATATCGTGCAGGTCGCCCTTCTTTAATAATAACACGGTCCTGCTGGCCCTCCACTGAGTAGGGACCTTGCATTCAGGCACGTAACGTGTGGAGAGCCGAGCCAGTGTGTTTACGAAGACTGGCGAAAGGTTCTTCGGCTGTTTTGGTTTTATCTTGTCCGGACCTGGTGCTGTTCGATTTTTCACCTACGAAATCGCATGTCGGATTTTGGAAGGGAGAACCGGAGACACAACATATCCATCCGCCTTTTTTTCATATGACGGAAGGTGGACGTGGCTGTCGAAGAGATCTGAGTAGTATTCGTGAATAATTTTCTCCACTGCATTTCTGGACGCTGTAACTCTTCCTTCTGGACGTCGGTGTGCAATGATCTTGCTCTTGTAATTGGCGAAGCTTCGGTGAGCTTGCGAATGTTTTTCCCAGCCTCTGCAACTTCGACCATTACTGCTGCCCTTCTCTCTTTAAAATCCTCTTTTATCGCCTGTCTGCACTGTTTTGCAAGTTCGGACGTCATTTCGCGGTTGCTTGCACCTCGTGCGATTCCACACTGACCTATCAGCTCGAGTGTTTTTGGTGACAAACGCCTCTTGATAACTTTCGAACTCTCAGCTTTCATAGCGCTATCGTAAAGAAGTTGAATGAGCCGATCGTATTCTTAGTCGATGTTACCGACAACGGCATCTTCCCATCAGCCGACTGATGAATTGAATAAGTCCCAGTTTACGGTTGTTCTGGGACTTCGGTTTTGGAATTTAGCGCCTTTTTCTCCTTTCCGCAAGAAATACAAACTTGGGCGAAGGAGATGATGGTCTGATTCCGTGTAGAATTTTGTGACAACAGCGACATCGGTTAGGCAAAGCCTTCTATTTACTAAGATGTGGTCCGCGAGTTTCCATGGATTGTTGTGGTCGCCATGATAAACTCAGATAGCCGTTCACCTTCGTTCTTCGTTCCATTCTAATCCGTGGGTCTCAATGTGACGTTCTTCGGGCGTTCTGCTTTGTCCAATCTTGGCGTTATATTCTCTAATGATAACCTTGAAGAATGTGGGGTCTTCTCTGTAGAACTTCTCCAAGTCCATATTGAACGCTTCGATTTCTTCTTCGTCATAGTTGGATTTGAGGTTGTTTGGATCTCCCTCAATTTAGAGTCCTGGATAACCAGCTAGTCGCGAGGCTGCGTGATGCGTCGCCAGGTGGCAGATAGGGAGTTAATCGCAGACCAAAGCGACGTTTGCTTCTCTCAGACGCAGGTGGATCTAAGGGATGGATTCCTAGTTTCTGTTACGCCGATTTGGCACATACTTTCTGTATTTACGAGGAGTAGGCATGCACGCGTCTGTGGTTGCGTTCTAGTTTATGCGGATTGTATTCTAGGAGTCAATTCGGCCAAAAGCCTGCAATCAAGTGACAGAGAAGTATATCGGAGGCGTTTAGGAGTCGCGTCCAACAAACAAGTTCCATGTGCACTCTGGTAAGCCTGGTAAGCTATCCATGAGTATACCAATACCACACGTTCAGAGCCCTGCAAACTCTACGTAGGTATCAAAAAACTAAAAGCAGTAAAAGAAACGGGCCTCATTCCCCTGACCCCGAAAGGGCCTCCATTTCGGTAGTGTTGTGTAGGACGAGTAGGGAGAGGCTGCTGAAATCTCAGGGCCGAAGGAACCTGCCTGGATCGAGAGAAACTAAGGTGACGATCTGTACCTACAATGCACGTACACTTGCATCCGAGTCCTCGATCGAAGACTTGCTCATGCAAGCAAGGAGGATAAGGTACGGCGTCGTCGACCTGGCCGAGACGAGACAACGCCACCTATTCAACGTCGTCTATGACACCGGACTGTTCCTCAGAACATGCGATAGTAGAGGAGTCGGTGTCGTCGGCGTTCTCGTCAACACGAATTTGTCCATGAACATTGATTCATTCGGACAACTAAGAACCCGAATCGGACGTTTTCTATGCCTGTCGTAGCCACTTATATTGACGACCTATTAGTCTATGTGCCAGCTTTTTGTAGCTCTGTTTTGCTAGTTAATTACTTTTTATTATTTAACCTCAATAAAGACCGTATTCGATGTGATAGTGATTTTCACTGTTCTTCTTGTGCATGAAGTTTATTTATAGACAGTACATCCTATAAATGGCAAGAACCCAGCATCAATACAAAAAGGCACTACAGAGGACCTGATGTTCGTTCTAATGCTGTTCGCTCAAACAATTGTGGAACCACCGTACAGTAGGTTGCTTCCTTCATGTTTCATTTGAATACACGAAGTTATTCTTCATTTTTCAGTCGTCACAATCTTCGCCGTCGCACTCGAGACTTGGTGAAACCATTCAATAGAATGGCAAAAGAAGCTGTGGGAGGCATCACATCTCTGAGAGCGAAATCACTACCTCCACCGAAACAGCGCACTGACTTCACTAGAAATCGCTCAGTTCAGAGAACAGCTTAATACAGATTGGCGTTTCGAAGTCGGAGTCTAAAACACAGTTTGGGATCCGAGGTTAGAGTATTCTTATTTTGATACATACGCTTCAATGGTTTATATGATGCCATTAATATGACACTTGTTTACGTTTATTCCTAGGTAATGTATTTTACACACGGGCTATGCTACGAATTCAAAAATGGTTATGCTTTCTTGTTATGATGCAATTTTTTTTAGTCTGCAAGCATTGTTGGATACTTCGAGATAGTTTCCAGAACCTTTGACGAAGAAACTCCCATTACCAACACAAGATGTTGTGAACGAGAATGTAATGAATTCGTCTCCACGCCTTATATTGTCGTCAGAAAGAAATAACTGTAGCGATACGTATGCGTTGTCATTTCACGGTTTGAATTCGGCAAAGCGGCAGTTAACCGGGTTAGAATCAAAATGGTTTTATTTGATGTGTAGTTCTTTGTTCAGTCTTTTCTTCTACTCGGTCTTCTTTGATTCGGAAATCCTTTATTTTACAAAATATTAGTTTGCTTCTACTGAGAAGTTGGAATAGACGCCGTTGATGAAGGCGAAGTGGTATCAGCTGACAGTATTGATGAACGTAGAAGGACGTCAACTCCAATAGAAAGCCATGACGAAAGTATGGCATCGAATCGATATTTTGCACTGATAAGCTCACACGAGGGTGATAGATAACTTTTTATGGCAAGTGTTTCGCTTTCATCGCCTTCTTAATTCAAGTGTGCACATCTGTTATTCTTTTCCGAAGTGTTAGGTCTTATAGAGCGAGCTCTGCTGAGAGCAGCACGCTATAAATGGGAGTGGGTGGGCGGTGGTTATGATACCGTTCATTATAAGGGCGAGCTAATCCACCTAAGCGCTGGTTCGACCCAACATCGGGCCACTCTTCCATCCAGGTCCGCGAAATTGCTACCAGACTTATTTGGAATAAGATCACTCACTCATTTTCACTTGGCAACGCCTCAATACGACCATCACAGGACTCCAGGGAGAAACGAATCGACCAGACTTCAACGGCGTTCGTAGCAAAGACGAAAATTTTTTAAGCAGAGTCGAACCCATACACAAAAGTTTGAAGGCCTTTGTGGATAATTGATGCGAGGGAGCAAATCCTGTACAAAAAGTGCTGGTGTAGGCAAAGTCTATTACAAGTGATGTCAAACCATCTAAAAGTAGTCTACACGATGTTGTTAAATAGGTTTGCATTGCAATTATTGCAGGGTTGGCTGTTTTCATGGAAATAAATAATCCAATGAAAAATCACTGAAAGTCTATCCAGTACAAAAAGGCACTATCGAGCTTTATCGAGAATTTACTTTATTTTTATGATGTTCCCACGTACCCCATTTGACCTAATACCATGTCCGAACTGTACTGTATCTTATGCAGGTTCTCTTCAGCGGTGCATTTTTCTGCACAAAGTTTTTTTTGCCGCGCTTTTTGTACTCAACTGACAGTTCATCCTGCATAGTAGTGTCAGGCGGGACCCATGTGAGGCTGATCTATCCACTTAATAGTTTATAGGGAACTTTCTCCTCGGACAAGTTCGTTCACTGGTAATTTGACTGTGATTAACTGTTACTTCATTTCAAACGAATTCATAAGTACTGCATTGCGAATAGAATGTCGAAAAAAGAGCATGCATAAGGGATGTTTAAAAACACCGAAATAGACCCAGCTTAAGTTACGGAACACATCAAAATTCCGGCAGCAATATGGCTATAAGTGGGACCGTAGTAACATACAGTGAGTAACAACATGTATAGCTCTCATATTCCTCTTGCGATGGATCAAAAACGGTTATAAATCCGTCATCTTCTTAGCCTTTTAGTAATCGAAAAATTACCGTTCGCTGCCAAGAAACCAACAAGTATGTAATGTCTGAAAAATAGGTGGCACCAGGAATATGTGCATCCAACTTCGATGATTCACAATATCAGAAAAATGGAAACTGTGGACATTCGACTCGAATCGTCGCAAACTCCGAAGACAGATATAGAGCCAAGAGTAGTCAAGAAGAATTGTGTAGCATTCTCGTGTGAACTTCTTAGTTTAACAAGAGAATGGTTATTTCTGACTCGGTTCGGCAGAGCGTGCTTTCTAAAAACGTGAAATGTACTGCATTTGATCCTCATAGTTATAGCACAATGTTATCATGGAAGTTCCATTTCTTTCATTTTTGAGGCTCGCAAATACTTCCTCTCAATTTTTCATTTTCAACAACATATTTTAGAATAGGGTGTCGGAAATGAGTTAGCTGCCGCGACAAAGGTGGCAAAGTTCGTTTTTATGTCGATTTCAAAAGAGAAAAAAGTCAAAACCTAGGAACAGTTACGTTTTACGTCGTTCCTATCCTAAATTTTCAAACTTAGGTGATCTATCGAATGCTCTTGGTCATTTGCCCTCGATAGACTCTCTGAATCTCTCTGCTGTCCTAGATAGTAAATATGCAGAAAGGTATATCTCTCGTATTTTATCCATTCTTGGATGTGAAGTTTCTTTGGTTTTTATTTTCCAGTGAGTTGAACGGAAGCACCCATTTTTTTGAGCCTAATAGCCGCATTGATATCCACAATGAAAACCGAAAAAAACGCACGCTTGGCGAACCCGGTAGTCACTGTGAGCAACCAGCACCACTCAAAGAGGCACCACCACCTCAAAGGTACACTGTTTTGACCCCTTTATTTTTGAGATCCCTTAGCCACTTGTTGATTGTTTTTTTAGCTTCTAAATCCAGCAAATGCTAAATATTATGTTGTTGATTTCTGTATTAGTTACAGTGGTGGTTTACACTATAAGGCAGAAATTTACTTTTTTGCCGATATGGTGTTAGTATCGGAACCGTTTGTAACAAGTTTCTCTGTAGATTGTTAATTCACCTATGGTATGCTAGATATTTCAGGTTATCCTTATCACATCGAAACAGTACTCAAAGTACAGTACTAATTTTACTAACAGTACTAATTTTGGCTCCTCCACCCATTTCGTGGTATCTACACCCGCGGTGGTTATTTTTAGAAAAAATAGCTATCGAAAAATTTTATAGGAATTATCTACAACGTTTCCCTGTCACTTAGCGTCTTTCCTTCAAGCTATGAGCCACTTTGGAATTTGGGAATTGTCAATACGCATAGCATCTTTGACTATTCAAGGAATCATATTCCACACGTCATTGCAATGAAATTGAGCAAGAGAAGGTAGATGCTGAAATCGATCGTTTATTCGACTTCATTGAGGTTAGTAACTGGAACGGTTTTCGGACTTATACAACTATGTATGACTACCAGTTGCGGTTTTTTATGAGAAGCAAGTGGAAACAACGGTTGTTATTGAGTTATATCGCACCTGGATTTCCACCACGTATTAGATTGTAGGATGCCACTCTATATCAGTTGTTGACTAACTGAGGTGGAATCAACTCTGTAAACGAAGCCCTATAATCATCCTTCGACTGTGAGTTTTTGTTGCAGGAACGTGATGAACTGGACACAATTGGATGCGAAACATTCCCAGAGCGGAAAATTTCGGTGTTGAAGCATGGCGATGCTCAAACCGTTCGAGACGACGGCGTCAACCATTTTCCGGAGTTTTTCCCGAAGATCTCGCAGCCCTCTATGTCTTGTAGCATCTATTCTCTCAAATCGCCTTGTGCTGATTGCCCTCTTAAATACCCAGTAGGTTTTTGGTCGCATAGTGTATATCAAAATACCAAAGATTTGTTGAACAGTTAAGTCAGAATGTAATGCTTACTTTCCATGAGCACTTTTAGTGACTTTGGAACCTATCAGAATCCTGAATACTTTTATCAGCAGCGATGGCTTGCAGTCGCGAGGCGCTGTGGTTAAAGTCAAATGGCCGTTTAAGCATTTAGATGAGTCATAATCGAGATATCCAGCACATTAGTTGTGTTTCGGTAGGTCTTCCTGTTCGATTTTCGTGTTTTACTGCACCAGCGGCTGGAATCGGTGTCAGTACATATAAATCAAGAGAGGAAACTATTGGCAAAAAGGTTTGTTTGCTCCTTTTTAGTCATCCTGCGTCTTTTACCTTCGGAAGTCCGTAGCTTCGATGTCATGCTTAATTTTAAAGGTGTCAGTGTCGGACGTTACCGAAGAAATGTTATTTGTTTTTGTATAGGTTAATATCTTCCATTATCTTGCTCGACCTATCGGCACACATTCATGTTCTCTGGCCATTTCCGCCCTTCTGGGAACCGCTTGCTCTCAAGGGGAGCATTCTTATCATATATACATGTATATATACATCTTTTTTGGAGGAGAAGAATGTGTGGGCGTTCTACGCCGGAACTTCGTCTAGTTTTGCTCGGAATAGTAGTTTAAATTCAACCGTTACTGTTACGATTTATTTAGTAGCCTCCGCAATTCTTAACATTTACGATTCGTTTGCAAGCTCCACAACTCCGATCACCACTGGACCTCAAACACATGTAACACCTGAAGAATACAAGCGGCAAATTGTGGTAGGAAGTTAGTCTACCATAGAATTTCGACAATTCTGTGGGTGCCTCAAAGAATACATAATGAACGAATGTTAAGCGCCATGACTCTACTCACCACAACATGCGGAATTACTAACAGTCTGGACTACCTCTTTTTCTTTTACAACAAAGTGGTTTCGGCTCAAGACTTGTTTTAGCAGGAAAACAATACAAATTTAGAACTCAAATTGCAAACTCAGTGTTGGCGGCAGCGGGTTCGAAGTTGAAAATTATCGTCATTATTAAGTTCTTATATATCTCGACGCTCGCTGAAATCACAACATTTTAAGACTTTGTGGAATGAGTCTATCTATTTTTCTCATTTATATCCATTTAGAAAGTGAGAAGTGAGATTTATGTTCAAGAAAAACAGATAAGGATGACGCTGAAAGTGCTTGCGTTGGCAAGAAAAACCAGAAGTCGATGTCGGAGGTAAGGTGGAAAGCAGTTTGGACAAAATGTAAACCACAGCGTTTTTTCCTACTAGACAGTTTTTATCGTTATTTTTGCACTAAATCATGGAACATTTTTAAAAGCCTTTCGGATGTGTTTGTTCGTATCATTGAGCCCTGCATCGAAGGTACTATTAAAGGCATTGTTGATTTCGAAGATGATAAGAGCTCTCTACTATGTTTGTATGTCGAAGTCTAACACTTAGAAACATTTTTTCGCTGCGCTGAGGGTATGAACTACCAGAAAGGGTGTACAGATGAAATTTAACCATGAACTTTTACTGAGTGTCACTAATTTCATCATTGTGAAGGAGCTGTATTCTAAGAGGGTTCGTTTATGAATGCATTTCCACATATTGTATTATAGAAATTCTCTTTGATGAGTTAAGACGAGATGGTTAACACGTATCTCTTATTTTTCAAGGCTAATATTTTCGCATCTTCGCCTTCTTCAAAGCCTAAACGTGTCGCTGCATAATAAACTTATTTAAAGTGTAGAGTTTGCTGGAGGTCAATAAATTTGTTTTATTCTGCTACGGTTTCGATATCTTGGTCTTCATCAGAGCCGATGATCCGAGTCGATCGTCCACAGTTGTTTTGTTCGTCTACTTGAAGTGGAGTCTTCGTCGAGACGGATCTTCTTCAGTGGAACACCACACGAACGAAGCATACTCACTCAGCAGTGCTCTTTCGTACCGGGCGGCTGCTTTTGATGTGACTATCCCTTTATAATCATTTGCTTTTCAAGCATAATTCACCCTGCTGGTAATCCACTGCAAAGAAAGCATGGCTCATTCTTGAGGTATTCCACTGAAGAAGATGCGTCTGAATACGACGTCGAAGACGCCACATCAAGAAGGAGAACTACTGGGGACCATCGACTCGGATCATCGATTCTGGTGAAGACGAAGACGTCGAAACGTTAATGGAATAAAACGAATTTGTCAACTTTGTGAAAGCTCAACAATTTAAACAATTTAGTTATCTTATTAACAAAGTGAAATGACGGTTGGTTTGGAAACTATCGTTATATAGCCTTCACCCTATTATTTTATGAATATTTTATGGTTCCAATGAATATATCGTGTACAAACCAGCTCCTAGTCTGTCAAGAATAGCCATCGTCTCTGTTTTTTTTTTTTTAATAAAAATACTTATACGCTATAAGGAATGAAACTCACTTAGATAAGAAAATTTATCAAAAATGATTTTGAAATCTGTGACCTGTCTATGGTGGGGGACGAACGCTCTATTGTCCTTTCCGGGGCAAGGATCGATAGAAATAGCTGAGAGACAGGCGAAACGAAGGACCCGCATGGTGTGGTGGTGAACGCGTTACGCCCTGGAAAGGACAATAGCACGTTCGTTTCCCACCATAGACACCTGCGATCCAGAGTTTTGCAAATATCTCAGCAACGTTGTGGTTGTATTTTGCTTAGTAACCTGCCATGAAAATTATAGAAGAGAGAAAACAAAACGTGAAACCTGTGACCTGTCTCAGAACTTTTGTGAATTGTTGATTTTGAGTGCTGCACGACGATCGCGACAACCACTTCACAATCGTCTCCGTTGCACTTTGTTTACTATGCTTACCTGAAGCAGTGTTTTTCTTCTCAGTTTTTCGCATCTAGAAAAATGGTTTTCTTTCGGATTTTGAGCTTCTAGTCTGGATGTTCTTTCGTGCGGACAGAAAGCGGTTTGGTCGTTTCACCAATCTGTTCATCAAGGTCATACCATATAGTAGCTTTCCAGAGTGGCAAGTAATACATGAAGGCAAAAAAGTTATTCACTGCCATTTCCGTCATCATTTAGCGTCCTGGTTTTTTATTACTAACTCTCGGTAAGGAATTGGCCCAACACGAACTTCAATTCGTAATCCGCTCTTCAGGGTATATGATCTAATTTTTAACTCAGCGGTTGGTGTTTCTTTTCTTTCCAACTGCACTAGTGGAATTATTATGGAATAAGAGGTTATAAAAAGTATAGAAATCGAAACTAAATCTACATACCCTATAAAACCACACCAAGGAGAGGTAGCGTCGTGATTAAATTATGCTCGCATTCTCACAAAGCACGAGATATCGAAATGTTCCGAGAACTATGGATGAAGGCATCTTTGAGCACAGGTAATGCATAGAATGTGAATAACAGAAATTGTTAAATTTTTGTTATTTTTATTATATTATGTTATTATTATTTTTTATTTTTATTTAAATTTTTACTCCCTGCATTTTTACGTCATCGCGGTTGCTGAAGTATTTCTCACACAGGAGTTTTGCCAATGTGCTTGAAGAAGTGATAGTCGGTAGGCGAGAGGACTGGCGAATATGGCGGATGAGGCAAAGTTTGGTAGCCCAACTCGTTCAACCTCTGCGGCGTTGGTTCCACAAGTTGCACAGAATCCACTTCTCGTCGCACGTCACAATTCGATAAAGAAAAGGATTATTTTTATTGCACAGAATAGGTGCAGACGACACTTCAAAACAACGTTTTTTTAAATTATCGTTTATTTCGGGCGCCACACACCTGTAGAGTTTTTTGTCTTTCCTGCGATTCCAATGAGTGGAGTTTGTTCCTACGTTTACGCCAAGCTGTTGCGTGAGCTCTGGAACAGTTGTTCGCGTGTTTTCTTCCCTTAGTGCCTTTTAAGGGCGTGGGTGGCGCAGTGGTTGGGGCCCGCCGCTGCGGCACACACATGGAATCGATCCCTGCGCCCATGGCTCACCAAGCCTTTCATCTATCCAGGGTCGGCAAATTGGTACCAGACTTGTTTGGAAGGATGGCAGCACTGGCTCGATACATAGGTAGGCCACTGCGAGTCATTGTAAAGACCAGATATGCAGTTCAATCACCTCCAACGGTACTTAATGAGGTCGAATGAATGGCGCATCCTTCAGGGATTGATCAACGCCGAGTGCTTTACCCTTTTTTTATCCTTTTAGTACCTCTAATTCGTCGTTATCAAGTTTATTGGGACGTCGGCGGCCTTTCTTAACTTCGAGGTCTCAATCGCCACATCGGAATTCCAGGAACCATGTTCGCACTGTTGATTCACCAACGCTACCTTCACCCCAAACTCGCTGATATTCCGAGCCCCTGCCGCGGCATTATGTCCACTGTTTCACTTGTACAAAAAAGCACACGAATATCACGTTGTTTCGTAGTGACGTTAAAGCCTATAAAAGTATTAAAATAGTAAATTTTGGAACAGTTCCTAGGATCGACTTTCTATTAACCTCGGCATAGGAATATGAATGCGTCGTTTTCTTTTTCAACAATCGCCAGGTTGTTATATAGCACACATTTACTTCCATAGAAAACACAATGCAATACAACAGCAACTAACGTTTCGGCAGTATCGCCTTCTTCAGAGCCGCTTTTTTCGTGACTTCCAATGAGGGAGATTAGAACAGCTGCTTATAGTTGCATAAACTCATTGGAGGTTACGAAAAAAAGGGGCTCTGAAGAAGGCGATACTGCCGAAACGTTAGTTGCTGTTGTATTGCATTGTGTTTTCTATGGAAGTAAATGTGTGCTATATAGCAACCTCGCGATTGCTGAACAAGAAAACGAAGTATCTCTTGAAAAAATCCAATATTGGATGTAGAAAAAGCAACTTTGTGCTTCAAAAATATATATTGTACACACATAAAGAACGAAATTTTTATTCGAAAAAATTGCGAGATGAACTGAAACAACGAAATCGGGCATTTTGTATGTACCAACCTAATAATGCGGTCTTGTTTACAAAGCAATAGCAGTGGCAGGCGGACCCAATACGATCTATTCTTTGGAAAAGCTCAAAAATAATGCGAATTGCTGCTGTACAATAACCGGGTTTTGTCATGTCATTTTTTCAAAATTTCCCTGGAAGCTTATGCTGCTTTTCAAGCTTATTTGTGGGCCCTTCATTCATATGAATTTCTGCAGCTGCGCTGCAAGAGTCAGCTACAAGAAATGAGTCAGAATTGGATTTCTCACGCGGAAGAAAATATGTGGTTATTAAGAAGCCGATGCACAACTGGAAAGTCCTGTTATGTTATGCTTAAGGGCCATTTAAGTATCTGATGTTTCTAGACTGTGATTTAAAAGGTTTACTCATATAACGGATGTAATTTTTAGGTGGCTGTCCAACGTACACTATTATTGGCTTGTGAACGCCTTGATTTGTTGCGGTGCGAGATGAATCTCATATCGGCGTCGTCGGCATTTGGCAAACCGCCGCGGCTAGTTCATCAAGAGTTACGTGAAACGGTGACGATATCAGATATAACAGTTCATTTAAACAGCTATTTTTGTCGGCGAGAACCTAATGATGGTGAGAAATTTGTTATTACCGGACTAAACGATGGTATGAACTGAAAGGTCACCTTTTAATGAGTCAGTTAAGCCTAGATTTATTGTTTTGAATGGTGTAATCTTTAGCAGTTAATCATTCTGGATAATCCTGCTAGTGAGGTTCTGAAGGTGTAGTAGCTAAGTACTCTTAGTTCAATGGATCTTATCATCTACTACCGTTCCTCTTTCTTCAACCTTAGAACAATCTTCGTTTTCTTCAGACTGTTTTTATGCGTTTCTGACACTTCTGAAATATGGTACTGAAGTGCAGACGACTGCTCCCATTTCTCTATTCGCACATCATCGAGTTCGAGTTCGTCAACTCACATTTGCTGAACACATCCAGTCTGTTTATCTGCCTGTCGATTTCAATGTAGTTGTGGAAGTGTGCGCCATGGTTGGTGGTTTGCAGTTTTGCTATCGAAAACCTATCTGAGAATAAATTGACTTGTTTGGCTTTTGCTATTGTGACTTTTCGTTTTATTTTCGACTGCGGTGTTTGTTTCTCGCCTACGGTACGTGGAAAGTTTTAGGAGCTGCCTATTTCAAAAAAAAAGAGCACTCATGTGTAAGCAATATTGCCAATAAGTGTCTCAACTTACTGAATTCAGGTTTTGGATTCTTGAACGATATTTCTGTGGTTGGCAAGATGCCTGCGCTTATTGAAGCGCGTGTTTTTTTGACTATTATGAGAAGATTTTAGTGTCCCGTCGTCCTAAGCACATATCTTGCTGCGATGACACACTCCTATCCAGATTTGTTCGTTATGGATATGAAATCCTCAACAGAGATACGGTTATGGCGAAAAGGTTCTACTTAGATTAAGCCAAGTATCCCCTCGAGGGTACAATTGAGGTGTATGCTCGTAGCACCAACTTACCGCAAGGTATCGAAGTAGAAAATAAAGACTATTTGGTTCGTTATTGTGTGCTATTAGAAATAATTCCTATTATTTTCACGATAGAGATGTCCTTTCTCCAATTTAATTTCAAATCTTCAGTTAATAGAGGATATCTTGTGACCATATCGTCCCTTGGTAACTAGTAACACTCCATTATAAAATTTCCCTTTAATCACAATACTTCAAGTGTCGTTTTGCGAACCATGATTCAAACCTTCATTTTAGACCGAGTATCAAACAATAAGTGCGTCATGGAAGCGTTATTGGGCAGTGTTGCGTCGTGGTATGATATACCTCTGGCGCCATCGGAGCGATGAGTCATTTAAGAAAGTAGGTATTTTTCGCTAGTGGACTCCTTATTTACTTTGCCGTTTAATATTGTAACTTTAGGGTTGAAAAAGTTAACATTTTGACCGAGATTCAATAGGTATTAGCTGTGAATATTACTTATATTTCAACGTCCTACGGCCTTCATGGACCTCAGGAAATGCACGAACGACTTAGTGGTTGCGTGCAGCCCAGGCCAGTGTATGATGGAGAATTCGTTTAGCATTGATATGCTAGTTTCTACAACGCCGTCAATAATGAAGGAAAAACGGTACTAGTTTAATCGATTTTGTTTCGATTTCGAATGTCAGAAGCAGCACATTTGCAGTTGGAGTATTGTTTATCCGGTTGTTGGATGCGCCTTTACCTTCGAGTAGCAAGCAGTCTTTGATGTGGCTGGAGTGTTGGCTCACATCTCAGTTGTCTGTAGAGCAACAGTAGATGTGTATAATGGATTAAATAGCAGTCGCTTGTGTGGGTGCCATACAAACGGCACCGAAACTGGAGTCATGTTTCCGAAGAAATTCTTTTCCAAGTCTTTTTACGCAATTTCCAGCGTTGTCCTCTCCATGCACTAGTATATGTAGCGGAATCAGGAATTTTCGTCGATGACGTTGTTGCTTAGATATTGCTACTTTAAAGCAACTGATGCTGCATTGCAGCAGAAGAGAAACTTCGCGAAAGACTCCTTTTTAATTTCGGAGAAAGGATACAGATTAGTTCATCGGAACAGTACAATATTTTGGGCTCCTTGTCTGCTCTATTTTGACGATTAGGTTTCCTGTGTTTGGTGCGAGCTTTCATAATCATGTGTGTTTAGCTTGCGGTTTCCGCAGTTGTTCTCTTGCTATAGAGAGTTTTTTTCGTCATAGTGCAGTAGCAGTTTCTTTAGCAGATGCCACTGGGGACATAAGAAGGCATGGTGGACGGAAGAAGGCATTTCTTATTTTTTGCTTCACTGTGTTTTTTTTATTTAATCAATGCTTGTCTGACACGTATTTGAGTTGGAAAAAATGTTCCGTGCTACACTTAATAGTTGGAAAAAAATCTTGCCTTTCGCTGTGTGATGTCATTTTCCTCTTTGGGAGTCAATTTCTGAACTTGAATTCCAAATAAATTGAATATTGGAAGAATGTTTTTGAAAAACTACATATAGAGATAGTGATAGAGCAAAGTCTTTTCTATAGCACTGTTAAGTTGTCAGCAAAGTAAGCTCTTTAGTCATGGAAAAATAACTGGGACTTATTACTAAGAAAAACATCATCCATTGTGTGAGGCATATAAAGTTTATTTTTTGACCATTAAACGAAGAATTGGCTGGTCTAAAGATACAGAAATGGACTCCGTGGAAATCTCAAAACGGATTTCTAAATGCTGAAATCCTGACGTCGGTGTGATTAAATACTGAATCGTACAGTAAATAGTGGCATCGCGCTTAGAACAGAGCTTCCGTGCTAAGTTCGATTCCTAGAGTAGTTAGCTGCCAGTGAAACAGTATCGTTCGTAACATGTGGCAACGTTATGTCGAAATAGTACACGAGTTATTCCATCCCTCAAAAAAACCGTAATCTCAACTGCCTATCACTTAGTACTATGCTTTAGGCTTCGTGAGTTGAACTGTATTGAAGTCGTGTTTTTCTAAAAAGGAGCAATATGCTTACGCAAAACAATGGTGTTGCAAGGAAATTGTCACGTAGTTGTCACACAGCGTTTCATTTTTGTAGGAATCCGCTCAACCACTGTTTAAGTCTTGCGTTTGAACGTCTTCAGTATTTGGCGACAACAGTCTGTCTTTGTTATATGAGATAACATAGCCAACATTTCATGAGAGCGAAGTCTGCTCATGTGCTAAAGTTTCAAGAATGCGATTTCATGCAGCTGTTGACCTTCGCAGGACTGCGGCTTTCTTCGGCTAAACTTGTGGTCACTTGTCCTCATATCATTGAGGTCCGCAATTGATTAACCTGAATAGGTTCACTTTTCATCGTTTTTTAATGTACGAGCCTATTTAGCAATATGGCAGACCTCAATTTTCGGGAACTCATGTTCACGTTTTTGTTCCTCTGATAACTTTATTTAACAGTTTTGTTCTGGTATCAGATTTGTTTGTCAAGAGCTCATTCCGTTCAATAAAGGCGGCGTTTTATCTGTGATGTGATAAACATCCATTCAGGAAGGTCTTCGGATCTCGGTGAGAATCTGCTGGAACAACATTTAAAAGGAAAGCCAAAGTTTCTGAGTAGATGGAGCTCCATGCAAAAACCTTCGTTAGTGATGAATGAGAGAAAAGAATAGAGCGAAAGCGCTTAGAACTGCACAACTTGTGCTGTCGGGTTTTTTAAAAAGGAAATGCGTTTATGTATCTGAGTAGTCTCATTGTATTGTGTTTCTCTATGGAAGTAAATGTATGCTGTTTAACAACCTCGTGATTGCTGAACAAAAAAACGACACATTCATATTCCAATGCCGAGCTTAAGAGAAAGTCGATCCTGGGAACTATCTGAGTAGTGTTATTTACAATAGAAGTCATTCTTTTCCGGACGAAGAACTGTTGCTAGCACGTGTTTGGTTTCACATAATTCTGAATGGAATAGAAAGGATAAGACGGTGTGTTCGACTATTGCAACAGTTTTACTGTTACTGTGAAAAGCAACACTTTTACTTCTGAAATCTTTATTTGAAATGTTTCTATTGTTCGGTCTACAGTTTTAGTCTTTCTTGCAGTGTATTGTTGCGTGCGGATTCCAGTGAGCTGCTCGAAGCATGGCTGCGAGCACTGAACGAGACCTTGTCAGCGCTCAGAGGAGAACAGAGAATTCTCTGTCAAATAACACTGTAATGCTTATGTTCGTTGCACCTTTGTGATCCTATTAGTTGATATTTTCTCAAATAATTCTTAAATAATGTGGAACTGCCTTATTGCTAGCCATATTGCTTCGTAATCGAATACTCCGTGAAAAACAAGATAAGGGAAAACACGAAGAGTAAGATCATCATGTCTCTGCTTAATGTATCATGAATCGTTTATAGCGCTTGACTTTGACAGTACGCATTCGTATATCTCCATTTTGATGTAGAATAAATCTTTCATGAATTTGACGCTTCTGATTGTGGTGCTTCGAACACGAATATCTCCGGTTGAGTGCATTTCCGCCGTTACTTCGAAATCACCGCCGTTTGAGTCGCCAACGAACACGGTCACACTATGCTCTATGCTCCTCTGTAGAAATCCTATATTGCGTCTCTGTTTAGGTGCAACATTATTTTTCTTCTAATCACTATTGCAGCCTGCTGTTTCCAGATTAATTGTTGTTTTTTATTTAGAATCACTGCCTGTTATTAATTGGTAGTTTATGTTGCGAAATATAACTCGTATATAATGCTGAGTTATTTGCAAAACTACGGACCGCAGGTGTATGCAGTGGGGAACGAACACGCTATTGCCCTTGCCGTGGAGTAGCGCACTTCACTACCACACCATCCGGGTCCTTCGCTTTGCCTGTCTCTCAGCTAGTTCTAGTTAAAAAGAAGGAGGCAGTAAATAGAAGGGCTAAGATTGTGATTATAACTAAGCCTCAGCTTAAATGGTTTAAATGCCGATTTGGGTTTCCCAGATCAGTCTCGTTGACGGGTGATTGCTGATGGCAAAAGATCGATAGAAATACCTGAGAGACAGGCAAAGCGAAGGACCCGGATGGTGTGGTAGTGAAGTGCGCTACTCCACGGCAAAGGCAATAGCGTGTTCGTTCCCCACTGCATACACCTGCGGTCCGTAGTTTTGCAAATAACTCAGCATTATATACGAGTTATATTTTGCAACATACCCTGCCATTATAAAGATAAAGGCAGTAAATAAAAGGGTTAAAATTGATAGTTTAGTTGTTAGATGAAGCTTTAGAAGTGAAGTATCTGATGCTTAAAGATCTAATACCAAATATTTTCATGAATGTCGGATGCAGTTGGATATTGGAGTTGGAGATTTCTCGCAACGATACACATAACGATACTTTCTCTACCGTGCCAGCTGATTGTCGTCGTGCTTTAGCTACCGAGTTGCAATCGTTGAATTCTGTTTTTTTTCCGTACCTCATGCACAAAAGGTTGTATAGTAGGCTATGTTCAATTCTTCTCGAGGAGTCCATTTCCTTCACTCAGATTTGCTTACAGAGGTCAGCGTTCTTTTAACGGATGAGGAATGATTCTTCTCCTCCACACGTGACGAACTGTTACAATCCGATTTTTGTTAAGTACTCCACAGAATGCGAACTACTGCATTCGCGTGTAAGGAGCGTCTCAATTTTTCAACGAGAACTAGTTTAATTGAGAGCTCTCAAATGTATTGTTGTGAGTGTTGACGCATGGATTACCACGCACACAAGTGGGGGTCTAGCTATCTTCACATGGGATGTACTTTAACTCCGTTCTTCATGGTGATTTTAGAAGAACATGAGATGCATGGTTTTGAATATGCTTGTACATTTCTGAAAAAAAGGAGAGAGCACCAGTTTTGAGTTTTGGGGACTGTTATTGCTTCTATAAATCACAGAAGTATCAGAGAGTGTTCGTACATCGGAACATTATCCGCCGTTTCAAATATACCATTTACCTTTGTCATGCGACGTTTTTCACTACGTGGGAGCCGGTGGAGTGGTGATCAGGAAATCTAGACAGAACGTTACCCATGGTTTGTTCTAGAACTTGCACATTTTACCAAAAAGCCGTTGTGCAAGATGCAAAGTGAATCCAGTGTTTTCCTAAGTTTCTGTATTACTTGCGAGCTCCCAATTAACCACAAAGACTGACAGCTGCGTGTAGTGACGACTTAGCAAGGCATTAGCACAGCTATTCCAAGATTGGGAGAGAATCGTCTCGCCCTGCATTCAACGATATGCGCAAGGCCATTTTCAAAGAGCATTTGAACTCGCGTGCAAAAACCTGAAGACCTTCGTCAAATGCAGCACATGTATCAAATGCAATAGATGCTAGGGTCACACAAGGTAGGACGTTAGGTCGTATAATACAAAAGTTGGAAAAATTCGACGATTTCACTTTTAGCTCTGCTATTCATTGAGCATGGCTTGTGCGG